CTTTTTAAAACTATTGTTTTTGAACTACAAAGTATTGAAAGTACTTAAACATATCTTCTCAGCTGGGAGCATACAGGTTTAAAAAAATTAATACTAGTTGTAAAATGGATCTCCTTAAGAATCAGTCAGGGTGATATCCTTAGCCAGCCAGGCCTTTCTGTTATTTCCAATTTTAAATAAATCTAACAGGGTGCATTTCTTAAAATATAAGATATGCACAAAGATAAAATGGAATACAAATATTGGGGTTTTAAATAGTCTGAAAATGGGGGAGGTAAATAACTCCAGGCACATAGCACCACGGCAGATCACCCTGTGGGCCCAAGTCTCACACACCTTTGTAGCCTTTAGAGCAGGTCCTCGGCCTGTTAGGGACCGGGCTGCAGGGGAAGCTAGCCTGAGCTCCGCCTCCTATCCCGCCCCCGCCCCCTCCTGAGCTCCGCCTGCTGTCAAACCCCGTCCTTGGAAAAAAAACGGTCCCTGGTGCCAAAAAGATTGGCGACCACTGCCTCAGAGTGCTGACACACTTGGAGTGCTCCCTCCCCGCCCAAAGTAGCCAAGATCTGTCACTTTGTGTAATGTTCTTTTATCAGAGTATATATTTATCTTTACATTCAACTAAAGAATGCACCCAGCTGGCTTTTTTTCTTGCTATAGCTGGGATTAACTCTCTCCTTTCTCAGTGCTTTTTCTACATAATGGAAAACCTTGTGACTCTTGAAAATCATCAACAGGTTGTCAAACTTCTAAGAATAAAGAGAATATCAGATGTCATGACTATGTATTTCAGAATTATTTTGAGCTTTCAATGACAGCCTGAAAAACCTGATCTCTGAGGAGCTCAGAGCTCATTTTTTAAAATCCAGAACTAGATAACAAATCTATTTTATTTGTACTTCATTTGATTTGATTTGATTTTCCTTCTCCCTTGGAGTCTGCTGAAGTAATATTTAAAAATCCACCAATAATAATGAGACCTTAAGACTTCCAAAGCTGAGAGGGTCTGTAAAGATGTTCTAAATGAGTCATTCCCCTACTTTCACAGAAAATCATAAAGTAACTTAAGGTCGCCCAGCTCCCAGAGGTAAAACCGGGATTTGAGTCTCCTAACATGAGATTAGGTGTTTAACCAGTGTTGCTTATGGGCCATTTGCCCTGGGCGGGGCCCTGGGCGGGGCCCTGGGGTGACCCTGGAAGACGCCCCGCCCGGCGAAAGAAACAGGCAGGGTTTTTGGCCTCCTGCAGCTTAACACTTGGTGTCAGGGACTGACGACAAAACAAGTAAACAAGCACCGAGTAAAAAATAAAAAAAGAATGAGAAACTTGGATAACTATCGTGAAGGAAACGAATGGGGTAAAGTGGCAGAGAATAACTGGACTGGGGACACATGGGGGGAAATTGCTTAGGTCCAAGAAGGCCTCTCTAGGAAGGTGCATGTAGGCAGACATGAGGACAGGAGGAGAGGCATGAGGAATGGGGAGCGCTATAGTTCAGGCAGAGGAAAAAGAGCTTTGCGTGTAAGAGGCAGTACCAGAAGGCCAGGGCAGCTTTGCAGAGGTGGGGCAGAGGCAAAGTGATCCAAGATGACGCCAGGGAGGAAAACAGAGAGGCCAGATGAGCCAAGGTCTGAGAGGTATCAACGTAAGAAACATTCAAAGCTGTAAAGAATTTCTGGTGAGTTTATTTGAGCCAAACTGACGAAAATTGCCGGGATGCAACAACTCAGCAGACTGAGAAATGCTCTGGAGAAGGCAGTTCCAGCACCTTATTGCATACAGCAGAATCAAAGGAGGAGCCAGAGGGAGTTACACTAAATCTGTTAGTGATAGATTGGGGGAGGCTGGAAAAGCAAAGCAGGGAAACCTCTGGGATTATATAAAAAGTAAAGTGATAGACACAGACTTCTTTTACATAGGTGGGCACAGGATAGTTAACAATCAACAATGCACAATAACAAGGAGGGGATCTGTGGTCTTGGCTTGTGCGCAAGGGGGTTGGGAAAATGAGATGTTACCTTGACATTCCAAGGGTATATTATCAGAGATGCAAAGAAGACAATAGACTTAGCTAAGGTAACGAGTGACCTTTGTTAGGTCAAAATACTGGCCTAGGAGATGACTGCCTGCCTTGACCCGCTTTTAGTTAGTAAGTTGTCATTTTAGACCATCCTTTGTGGTTACTTTAGTTCTCCACGTTTGTAAGGCTGCCTCGAAGGCCTCTCCTGAGTTTGTCAGGTTAATACAGGCTGCAGCAAAAATAACACCCCTGGTTTATTATAAAATATTTTATAACAAAATTATAAACATGGGTTTTTTTTTAGTAAAAATCATAAGGATGTAATTCTGTAACATAAAAAATATCACACTCAAGCACACCGTGTGACATTTTAGGTGAAAGTGTTCAAATTAAAACTATAAACTACTACCCCCTACTATTAACCTACCAATAAGGTTGCTTACTGGTAACCTTACATTCGAGCAGGCCTTACTTCTGCCGGACCCTGTATGTGGCCCCTTTTCTTCTACGGAGACTTTAAAATTGTACTCCGTTCCAAATACCCGGAAGGATTTTCCTCACTGGATGATCCGAACTGACTTCTATTTTTAAAGATTACTTTGACTCCCATAGACAGAGAATGGAGTAAAGGCAGGGACATTTTACTTTGTCTATTGACTTACACTAAATTTGATAAGAAAAGAAAGCTAGCTCCCCCCCCCCCAGGCATGGTAAATGTGGCCTATGGAAATGTTAGGCAACAATTTAGGTAATTTTACTAGGTGACTCTGATTGAGAATTAATTGCCACTACATCTTTTTGATTGTTATTATTGTGAAAATCTCCAAGGCTGCCGAATGAATATTCCGTACTTTACAAAGAAGTAGATCCCTGCTATAGATCTCTTCCTATAAGTAGGCAAATAAACACATAGGCCAGTGGAAAGAGATGAAGCTAACACTCGTCTTTGCGGACTCTCTAGTCAGTTCCAACCCCCTCTTCTCCCCTTCTCTCCCTCTCCGTACATACGACAAATCCAGCATCTCTCATGTTACTGCCAGATGTCAAAAATCTGATTTTTTTTTTTTAGTGTGGCCAGTATTGAGTATCTTCTTTGAACTTCTGTAACAGTCTGCAATGTTCCAGGAGCAATGGGACCCGAAGGCCTCAGAATATCTCGGAAGTTTCCAAGCAGCTGTGTCTGTTTGGGGTGTGGGGTAGGGAGTGTATTGCAGAAAAATCTAAACAGAGTTATCAATCTCGACGGTAGATTATCAGACTTTTGAACTGGGAGGGGCCTCAGAGGTCCTCTAATCCATCTCGCTCATACAAATGAGGAAACTGAGACTGGGAGAGGCCAAGTTCACAGAGCTGATGGGGGGCAGCTCTCAGTTGAACCCAAACCTGCCTTCTCCCAGGATCTCGGGCCCCCTCAGGAGCACTTCCTTTAAAGGAGACCAACCGAGAAAGCCGAACACTTCCTCAAAGATGGGATGGAGAGATTCTCATTTAGGCAGGCTCTGGTGAGGACCCGTGTGCCAGAGTTATTAGTGGCAGGGAGACACACAAAGCTCCTATTTGAAATGATTCTAGAAAACATTACCTGCTCCTCCAGGGAGTGTTGACCATATAATAAGCTAAAAGGAAAAAAGTTCAGAAAGAAAAGAACTGAGGGCAGAAGAGTGGACGGAAACAGGAAGAAGGAAATACCGGGTGGGAAGATCATCAGAACCAATGACACGGAGGTAAGGGAGACCTGAAAATAGAAAAAAAAGTCTGCCCGTGGCAGATGAGCAATGTCAATCACCTGTGCTTGACAGTGATGCTCAGAGCCTTCGAAAGTAGAAAATGGTGAGGAATAATACTGGAGCAGCTGGATTAAGGCGGGCCTTGGAAGGCAGGTAGCCAGGTCTGATCAGTATACAAGATGGACTTGTGCAGCCAGGGAACAGATACATTATGTAAACAGCGGGAATATTGAGAAAAATATCAGTATATCTCAAAGGAGAGATGAAGAAAAACATGAACAAGTTGTACAAAATGTAATTAGTTTGTGAGCAAGCATTAAGTCTTTATTGAGTGTTTGTATTGTACAAGGAATCAGGCAGGGAAAAATAACTAAGACATATAGTAAGTCCTTTATTGGCCAATGCAGTGTGACACACCCTATACAATGGTGGGGCAGGATGCAGCCATTAAAAGGAAGGTGGTATCACAGAAAGGTAGTATGTAAACAATCTCTGTGTTTGAGTTTGAAGTCATAAAAGTAAGAAGCAGGATCAGCACATATGTGTATGCTCTTTCTAAAGAAGGTGGCGGGCATATGTTTGTATCTACATAAGCCCTGGACAGATAGGAAAAACACGGGGGGAAGTGAAAAAAGACTCACTTTTTATTGTCCTCTCTCTCCACCCTTTTGTACTTTGTATCAGATGTACATATTGCCTAGTCAAACACCATTTTCAGAAATCTAAAAATAAAAGTTCTATTCTTTTTCGAAGATGTTCATGTCACAGGTCCTGGATCCTAATCTCACCTGTTTCAATCAACATGTACACTTGGCCTCTACAGGTGTCCCTTCCTAGACTCACTCCTGTTAGCTGACACACCTCTTCTCCCTTGCCCGCCCCCCGCAGCAACAGCAGCAATAAAGAGTCCTCTGGTCCAAGTAACCTTTTTATCTTCGTGGACTGCCTGCCTTGTGCTTGCCACATTATCTGATACCCACGTCTCTTATCAAACCTGCCTCCTATGGGACAGCAACATTTTCTGTAGTTGAGAAGATGAAGGAAGTTTAAAAAGAAAAACATAATAATAAAAGCCCAGAGTTTAGCCAGCACTCTTTCAGGCTCCTGCCTGAAGTTCCTATTTCCTCTGGGCTTAAAGGAGATGATGTTCTTTGGCAAGAAGAGCGTTTTTTGTCTCCAGTTCACACAAACCCACACTTTTTTCTCGGGTCACGTGCCTGGCTCAAGCCACTGGGCTGCTGTGTAACTCGATCCCTGCGGCCAGCCTCTTGACCCACTCCAGTAACGACAGCAGGGCACGACAGGATTAGGCGACAGCGGCTGCAGAAGTAGGGGCTGAAGGGGGAGAAACAGCAGCCTTGAGCTGAGGCCGGGACCTTGGAGGAGCTGGAAAGCAGCCCACTGCAGAGGTAAGCGGGAGCTGCAGGGGAGGGAAGCTGTTTGCCAAGGTCAAAACCAGTTCAAGTTCATTTAAGGAAAGGCAAAGTCCATTCTTCTCACCTCTGCCACCTCCTTGTCCTCTCTACTTTCAGTACAGGTGAGATCTGAACAATGTCCCAGTATGTTTTCTTCATTCTCTCTAACTTCCTACTTTCTTAATTAATTCTAAAATGTTTAAATTGAGGTAGATTGGCGTATAACACTATGTAAGTTTCGGGTGTGCAACATGATAATTCAGCACCTGTATGTACTATGTCGTGCTCACCCCTGAAGTCTAGCTTCCTCTCATCACGATGTGGTCTGGCCCCTTCACCTGTTTCGCCTTCCTCCACCCCTGTTCCCCTCTGGTAGTCACTGAGCTGTTATCTGCCTCTGTAAGTTTGCTTTTCTGATTATTTCGTTGTTGTTAGCTCATTTGTTTCTGTTTTTATATCCCACACAAGAGTGAAATCATATGGTGTTTGTCTTTTTCCATCTGACTTACTTTACTTAGTACCTTTAAGGTCCATTCACAGCGTCATAAACAGCAGGATTTAGCCCTGGCTGGTGTGGCTCAGTGGACTGAGCACCAGCCTGCAAACCCTAATGGTCACTGGTCTGACTCCCAATCAGGGCACATGCCTGGGATGCAGGCCGGATCCCCAGCAGGGGGCACGCAAGGGGCGACCACGCAATGACATTTCTCTCCCTGTCTTTCTCCTTCCCGTCCCCTCTCTCTAAAAATAAATAAATAAAATATTTAAATAAATAAACAAATAAATGGCAGGATTTCACCTTTTTATGGCTGAGTAATATTCTATTGTCTATAGACCACACTTTTCTTTATCCATTTAGTTATCAATGGACACTTGGGTTATTCCCATATCTTTCTGAATTGATTTGAGAGAGTGAGAGAAACATCAGTTTGCTGTTCCACTTAATTATGCATTCATTGGATGATTCTCATATGTGACCTGACCAGGGATCGAGCCTGCAACCTTGGTGTAAAAGGATGATGCTGTAACCAGCTAAGCTTCCCAGCCAGGGCCCTCCTTATCTTGACTATTATAAATAATGCTGCAATGAATATAAGAAACATATATATTTTTGAATTAGTACTTCATGTTCTTCAGATCAATACCCAGAAGAGAAATAGCTGGGTCTTATGGTACTTGAAGGAACCCTCACACTGTTTTCCACAGCGGCTGCTCTAATTTACGGTCCTACCCAGAGTGTACAAGAGTTCTCTTTCTCCTCATCGTCACCAACGTTTGTTCCTTCTTGTCTTTTTGATGATAGCCGTTCCAGCAGGCGTGAGGGTGGTATCTCACTGTGGTTTTGATTTGCGTTTCCCTAGTAATTAGTGGCGTTGAGCATCTTTTCATGTGCCTGTTGCCCATCTGTGTGTCTGCTTTGGCAAAATGCCAGTCTAGAGCCCTGGCCCATTTTTAATTGGTTTCTGTTGTTGTTGAGACGTTTGAGTTCTTTACATACTTTGGATATTAACTGCTTACCAGGTATATGGTTGCAAATGCCTTCTCCCGTTCAGGCGGTTCCCTTTGCACTTTGCTGATGGTTTCCTTTGCTGTACAGAAGCTTTTTAGTTTGACGTCGTCCCATCTGTTTATTTTTGCTTTAGTTTCCCTTGCCATTGGAATTAAATTCACAGGAACTTCGTTAAGACTGATGTCCAGAAACCTAGCATTTATGTTTTCTTCCATGTATTTTATGGTTTCAGGCTTTACATTCAAGTTTTTAATCCATATGGAGTTCATTTTCCAGTTTGGCTGACCGGTAGTTGTCCAGTTTCGTTCTTTTGCATGTGGCTACTGGGGCGTTTTCTCGGTGACAGACAGAGGATGTCTGTCACCGATGCCTGCACCATCCGCCTGTTTGTACCACCTACCTCCCCTGAAGTCTTGTTTTGGTAGCAGTTTGCAGGTAATTCTGTCCTACAGACTTGGGTCTGGCTTCAAAACCATGTGTAGGAGAAACTCCCCAGTCAGAACTCAAAAGAGGAAAATCTAACTGGAAGAGACTGGCAGGAAGCAGCTGTGGTCTAATTGCTTCTCTCTAACCTGCCAAAGCCACCTGGAAGCAATGGGGCCAAGTACACGTCTTAAAAATGTAAAGCCCAAGTTAGATATGTGGGCTAGGAGCTAGATAACCATGTCGAAGCTGGGTTTTTAAAAAAATGTTATTTCTTTATTTTTAAAGAGAGAAAGGGAGGGAGAAAGAGAGGGCAAGAGATACATGGATCTGTTGCCTCTCACATGCCCCCACCTGGGGACCTGACTTGCAACCCAGGCATGTAGCCTGACGGGGAATCAAACCCACAACCCAGGCCAGCACTCAGTCCACCGAGCCGCACCAGTCAAGGCCCATGCTGAAGCTGTTCTGATGCGATATACTGAGATTCTCAACCATGGCTCTGGTTTTAGAATTGCTAGTGGCCTGGTAGTACCTATGGCAGGCACTACCTATTTGTGCTGATCCAAAAACACATGTAGGCTGAGGCAAAGTATTTAGGAAGCCTGGCTTCTGCCAGAAACTGTGGAGTTCAGGACAAGTCAATTCTGTTATTTAGGTTTAACAAAGTTTACGGGTTGAGGTGCATACAGTCAGTGTGCCAATGGGAGTGAACAATAGGCCCACGGTTTTGGGTTCTCACCCCGGCCCTTTGGAGCTCACAGCAAGCAAGACAAGCTGGACAAGAAACAGACAGACTTGTGGTCTGCTTCACCGTCTCATGCGCAACTCCAGCTAAATTTCTCTGGTTGGGGTAGAAAGATTCCATTCTATTGGGTGAAACAGAAGTGCTGTGAGCAGCAACGTTTGACCTTACACCGGAAAGCTGTTAGTACAGGGAAGGGTGCTGAGGTGTTCAACAGCAAATGCTGGATGCGTTCTGAGAGCAAAAAATAATGCTTTTAATCCATTTCTCCTTCTTGTACTTGTTCAGCAAGTGCTTCCTGGGTATCTGCTCCATGCTAGGCTTGTGTTTGCTGCTACAGCTATAGTAAACAAGATGGGTAGGCTTTCAGCCCCTAGAGTATGCCTCCCTGTGGGGGCCGTACTCAAGGGTTCAAGTGCAGGGCAGCAGCATAAGGAAGCATGGCTAAAACTGTCCAGAGGGCGTTCTCTTTGTTCCAGAGTTTCTAACCTTTCCCTTCATGCATTTCATCTTCTTGAATGAATACCTTTTTCCTTAAAAGTCTCACAGAGGCACAGACCTTGGTCACAGCAGCTCCTCAGACCCTCTTCACCAGAGTCCTTCAGCTGTGTCACTCACTGCGTTTCGGGTCTGTCTCCTCAGCCCTGGAAGCAAATTGCTCAGCCTTTGCTAAGGATACAAACAGCCTGAAATACCAGAAGCTTCAGTTCATGTCATTAGCCCTCTCCCGGGGTCATTCCCCACAGATGATACAGAATTGCGCTATTCCAGAAACATACGTAAGAGGAGGCAGAGGGTTAGGAAGCCTGGATTTTGCCAGGAAGTGTGTGGAGTTTGGAACAAGCCAGTTATGCGTTGTTGGCTTTATCTCCTTAGCTGTAAAACAGAAGCAGTGGGCCAGATGCTCCACCAGCTCTTCTTTCCCCTCTCCTCTAAAAGTAAATAATTGTAATAATCTACAAGAGGTTTACAAATAAACCTTGCACATTCACATAAAGATTATAAATCTTACACCTATAAAATGGGAACATCCATCAACAATGCTGGATATCCAGGAACCTGGAATCTGAAAGAATCTGGCTACAGACAAATAAAACATAAAATTACATTCTCTCTACTCTCCAGCCACCCTCGCTCCAGTCCCCTGTCCTGTATTCAGATCCTTGAGGTCATGAACATCAGCTGTAACCTCACGGTGTCATTAACCTAGATTGGGAGATTCGGCTGCTTTTGAAAGAACCACGCCAAAAAGTATCTAATTTGAATAATCTCATAATACATATCAAATTCCCTTTAAGGAGGAATCAACTCATTGTTATAAAGTATCAGAATACTTACTTACAATGCGTTCATTTCTTTCTTTTCCCTGATACATTCTCATCATAAATTCTATTTCATAATCTCCTCCTATATACTTTCTCATTTGGAAAAATCAGAGTTATATAGTATTACTTTATTGAATAGGACAGGAAGCATGTCTTATTTATCTTTCTATTCCTTGAGTCTAGCAATGTATCTAGCACAAAAGGAACGTTTCTCGAAAGGATGATTAATATTTTAGAAAAACATGCTTTGCCCTGGCCAATGGTTCGGGTGGTTGGAGCCTTGTCCTGTATAACAAAAGGTTGTGAGTTTGATCCCTGAGCTGGCTGCACACCAAAGGCAACCAACCGGTCAACGTTTCTGTCTCACATGGGGGTCTCTCTCTCTCTCTCTCATTAATAAATACATTCTCAGGTGAGGGTGTTCTGTTTTCCCTTTGATATTGAAAACACACACGGACACAATATCTAATCCACTATTCATGGCAAACAGAGGCTGATCTCATTGTGTTGTGTCCCATTACAATCCTGATGCCTACCCTGCATTCACCAACATCAGCACATGCTACACTTTCTGCAGACTCAGTTGGTGTAATGAGCACTAAATTCAAGTTGGCCACTAAATAACCATGCACTTTGAAGTTAAATACTGAATATCTCTAGGCCTCCATGGGGCATTGGAATAGATGAGCTTAAAACAACTTCTAGTTCTTAGAGGAAAGACTTCAAAAGGTAGAGATAGAGAGAGGAAGCACAATCAAAATGTGATGATTATCGTATGTTAACATATTCAATATTTGATCATTGTTGTTCATTTTGTTTCCCAAAATTTCTTTTGTTTTGTTCTTTGAGAGAGAGAAACATTGATTTGTTGTTCCACTTACTTATGCATTCATTGGGTGACTCCTGTATGTGCCCTGCCTGGGGATCAAACCCACAACCTTGGGGTATCAGAAGGATGCTCTAACCAACTGAGCTACCCAACCGGGGCCAG